GAAAGGCTCAACTTCAGCAGAGGTACAGATGAATGAAACCAATGTATGCAGTACTAGAAAATGTTGAGTAGGGAATTTTTTCTACAAATATCTTTCTTCTTTTCCTCTGTTCCCCTTTGTACATATATTCCTCAGGAAAAGTGCTGTGTTGTTGTGGCAAAGGGATTTTGCAAGTATGAATACTGATCTATCCCTTAACAGAAGGAAATTCTTGAGGTACAGTGTAACTTCTACCATTGTATTGGAGTGCTCCAGTAAGTTTTGTGCAAAGGAACTGAATTATTTGGTATTTATGCACTCTGACAAAGAATCTTTGTGCCATCCTCTACAAAGTAAAGGCTTTAGAATCCAGTACATGTATTCTCCTTTGTATTACAGATATTTTATATCTGCTAGGCTAGTGTAAAAAGACCTTGAAATAAGTATAATGGGTGTCTTTAGGCCTCTTTACAATATCTCATTGAGATTTTATAGAATATTTTATGAGACAGAGACTACAACTCTGTCAAGCTTTAAGGCAAACATCTTGCCAAGGATTACACATCTAGAACTGGGTCCAATCTCAAAGGAGAACAGATGAGGTGACATTTTTCAGCTACAGAGTTGGTGACATTTTGCATTTTTCATACAGAGAACATGCAGCACCTGTACTTGGGTTTATTTCTTATACCTCCACACAGCTAAAGTGCTACTTACAGAACAAGTATTTCAAGAACCTAGAAAGTGAAGATGGATGGCATCATCCACACTTTCTGATCTCCATGAAATAGCCATTGCTCTTTCTAATTACCTTGCTCTGAATCAGGTACTGTGGGAGGTATTTGCAGACAATTTCTGAATGACTTTTTATTATCATTTTAAAAGGTGATAAAAGGGTTGGAGTCACTGTAAGTGAAACTGTCAGGAAACGGTTTTTCTGTTTTTTCATAGATGAACAGGATAGTACAGAAGAGGAAGACAATTCAGTAAAAAATGTCAAAGATGAGTAGTAAAGTTGCTGATCTACTAGGTCAAAGGAAAAAATGCTGATTTAACCTGAAGAATGATCTGGAGCTTGGATTTTATACCTTTTCTGCACTTTCTACTATTAAAATAATGCCTAATACACACCCAGGTTGGAATTCTGCTTGTTGATTCAAGTTGTGAAGAAAATTTTAATTGTTTCAATCATTCAGAAAAAAAAAAAATCTTTAAATGAAACCCTGTATCAGATTTGGGGTTGAACTCTGGGTTTCAGTCCAGAGGCTGAAAATAACGATTTTATCTATCAAGGTAGGGTTTTAGAAAGCATAGCCAATTTATGATAACTGTTGATTAGAAACCAACACCATGAAAAAATTTCCATCTGTGGATACACTTATACCCTTCATTGGAAAAAGAACTGCCTGTGGATGCCCCATCCCTGGAATTGTAGTTCACCATCCCTTCCAAACCAAACCATTCTCTGATTCTATGGCAATATGCTCTAGCTTTGGATTCAACCCTGCTTTGGGCAGGTGATGGGACGGAATGACCTCCAATCTAAATTATTCTGTGCATAACTGGTAAAACAAAATGTCTTGATTTATTGTAATTGGGAAAAAATTTATGAACTTTGTTTGCTCTTGGGAAGAAACTAATGATTTTTCCTTGCTCTTTGGCTTGCAAAATCCTAATCAAACTTGCTACTCAGGAGTATTACATTCTCTCGTGATCATTGATATTAGGAATAGGATTTGTGTGAGTGACCTGTGATTTGGAATATCTTCTTTTTTAAAATCTTCTAGGGGATACCTACCTGTGTCTATGGCTAGTGGGGCACTGTGAAGCTGAGAGATGACCAAATCCCTGATGGTGACAGCTAATCAACAAGTTAAAAGGTACCAATGGAGCTGCTGCAATTCCCCATGTGTGCACTATTGTAAATATAATTCAGCTTTAAATGCTCTGTCCCTGACAGCTATGCTGCATTAACTTGCCCTATCCATGTGCTAACAGTATGTTCACAGTCAGTGGGAGCACCTCATGTATTGTAGCTTGTCAAGGAACAGTGACATGATGATTTATCTGAGCCTTCCTGTGCTTCTTCCTGGACTTTGACTACCTTGATTATCGGGCTCCTTTATTATTCATCTAAAGAAAATGAGAAAGAGTGACTGAGTAATCACTGAAAGGTGATAAATTCCCAGAGCAATTCTTCAGAAGGTCTAATGAAGCCCAAGCACCAGTCAGATCAGCAATTTGGCACACGGGTGGCTCCAGGGTGCAGCTCAGCCCCCCTTGAAAACTCTGCAAAGTCTCTGGAAACTAGATGATGCCCTAAATGAACAAAGGCTGTTGTTCAACAGACTGAGTGACATTGAGTATTCCCAAAAGTGGGGTTTTTTTAATATTATTATTAGATTAGAATCAGTTCTTAAATCACTAAATTGTGTGGAAATTTCCCATTCCAGAAGTAAGCAAACATTCAAGAGTATATATATTTTACTTAGCAGCTACCACAGAAAAATATACAAAGCGGGAATCTGTTAAATGCAAAACCTAACTGGATATAAAAATGTATTCCCCTGATGGGTCTGTTTCTCTAATAAAATTTCATTAAAGAGGGCACCATTGTTTTATGGAATATTCTGTGGATTAATATATAAAATTTGCAGCCGTTTAATGTATCTCAAAAAGTTCAGTTTTGCATTCTACTTTAATTTTTTGTCAGCATAAGTTTCTCTTGAATAATCCTCTGTAAAAAGGCTTCATTTTGCTTCAGTTTTTGTAAAATACTTTTTTTGATCAGGTTTATTACCTCTGAGTTCATTTATATTTATCAAATCCAAATAGGTGGCACAAAGTCATAGTTTATTAATTAAGAATTGAACAGATTCTTGGGACTTGATTCTTATAAATCAAAAGTTTAGGACAACACTGGTAGGGTCCAAAGGGGGGTCCAAAAATGCCCAAAAGGGTGAAACCTGAGAGGTATTTGTTGCATTTTCTGAAATATCTTTGTTGTTTCGTTACTTTTGCCTGGTGCACTGGTGATGATGACAGAAAAACTGGAGCAGACCATGACACAATGAAAAGAAAACAAAAAGAATAAGACTCAGAAAAGCCAAGGTGTTTTAACTTCGTGTTTTAACTTCATATTTTCTGCAGTCACACAACCCAAAACCTGAACACAAGGAGGAACCTGGAGCTCTGAACACACATGTTATAATGGTATCTACAGAAAGGCCAAAAAAAGTAGGTGAGTGAGAAATGTTTCCTGGTTTGGTCTGAGAGATGATGCTCCTCTGCCAGACTGGAAGGATCTGAATCAGCCAGGCCCTTTTTATGTTAAATATAGTTTACTATATGTAAGGACTTATATATATATATATTATATGTATATGAAAATTAATGAATGTAGAAATATATGTCTACCATATAGATTTATGTGTGTATTAGGCGCATATGCAAATGCATAGTTGCAGGAATTGGGACTGAGTAGAATAGTTCCAGAAGCCAGGAACTGGTTTCCAGGCTTCATTGTTATCCTGGTTTATTCATCATTTAAAATAAGTTTAAACAGACAACAGAAAATCTAAGTGCTGCAATTGTCTCTATGCACACTGTCAGCTTATAATTTAGCAAAAGAGTGTGCAGGACTGTATACGACTGGCACATCTCAGGGACAATGGAGGGGACACAAAATTATACGTCCACTTTAGAAAAGCTCAATTTCACCTGAGAAATAAAGACTTGTAGTGCAAATGTTATTCCAGCTTGAAAAATCTCTGCCAACATTTAGAATAAAAGTGAGACAAACATTTCACATGGTCAGAACAATTTATGTTTGAAACAACTTTTCTAGGACAGACCCTCCATCCTTTGATTCAAGACTGAAGGTCTTCTCAGATTGTGCCTGAGCTCACATGTGGCCTGACTTCAGTAATTTTTAATAGTGTTCTTTGTAACATACTATACAATGTGGTCACAGTAGTCTCTTCAGGTCTTGAAGGAGCGAACCAGAAGGATATATGCAATATCTTTCAGGATACTTAGACAGAAGGCCTCTGTGGCAGACCTGTTCACTCACAAGGGGAAAGAGTTTAAAACATCAGAAAAAAAAAGGGACTGATTCACCCAATGTAATGTTTCAAAACTCTTATGTTTGCACAGTACTGAGAAAAACTGCCAAATTTAAAATTTAAGTTAGTTTATTAACTAACTTGGCAATATTTCAGACAGTATACCTGTCCTCTTGTTTCTCTTTTTTTGTTCTGGGAGTTTGAGATCACTGTTTGCTTCGTTTGACCTTTAGCCTGTCTAGGTTCCAGTTAACTCTGATGGAGAAATGCTAATGTGCTCTAGCTTAGCCTGACTCACCCAGAGATTTGGGGAATTTTCACAGAAGTGGTTTGTTTCCCATACAAATGGAAAAGGCTGATTGTGGAAGGGGAAAGTGAAACCACCGCACAGCTTCCACACGGTGCTGTCAAATAAATTATCGTTCCTGTCCCAGGAGGGGAATTTGGTGTGCAGATCTGTGGGCATAACTGGTGCCCATCAACGCAAACAGAGGGATGCGGGGGAGCTGTGACTTGCCTGCTGCTGGCCTTAACCAAATATTCTCCTCATTTTCCTACCACTTCTCCACCCGTGCCCTAGTATTCTTAACAGTTGTGATGTTCTCAGCCTCTGCTTGCCTTATAGTGTTAAATGGCTCAATGACATTCTACATTAATAGGTACTTTGTGAAGAATGCAGGGTGTAATTTTTGCTCTGCAAGGAATATTATACGTGTAGGCTGGCATGCACACAGGCATATGAGTGTCTCAAAACACTCTTCCACACTCCCCTTCCTACATGAGAGGGCAATAAGCCAGTATAAGCATATGTCTGCTGTATATATGGCTTTAATGAGAAGAGGAGACAGTGTAGATCAGCCATGTTATAGCTGGTGAGGATGTCAATTCTTCCAGCCGGGGCAGCATTCCAAACCTGAGACTTGTGCGTTGTAGTAGCAAAATGTCAAAACCCCTCTCACATCATGTCACTGAGCACGATGCTACTTTTGCCCTCTACTTGATCATTAAACACACTACAAATGGCACAAATGCTTCCATCAGTCCTATAAATACTCTGCATACCTGTTTTAATCTCACATATCATTGCAGTGGCAGCAATTTGCATGCATTGTAATCTCATGATGATTTAGTTCTAATGTTAGTCACTGATTCACTAATTTATTTAGTAGGAATAGACTTCAGATCCATGACGAGCTCTGCCAAATTTCAGAAGCCCTAAAAATCAAACAATGAAAGAGTGAATTTTATCTTACACACAGAATAGGTTATGAAAATTTTCAGGCCCAAAACCTTAGCAATGCAGTCAGCTCCCTCGTGTGACTCTACTCCCTGATTTCCTCATATCATCTAATCTAAACCTCCTCTCTGTTAGTTTAAAGCCATTCCCCTTTGTCCTATCACTAAGGCCCTTGTCAAAGGTCCCTTTTCAGCTCTCTTGTAGCCCTTTCAGGTACTGGAAGGTGCTGTAAGTTCACCCCTGAGCCTTCTCTTCTCCAGGCTGAACAGCCCCAAATCTCACAACTTATCTTCATAGGAGAGACACTTTGCCTTCACCCCATGCTTGTCATGTCTAGAGGGGATTGCTACCTCCTCTATCTCAGGTTTACACAAAACTTGAAGGACATTCAGTTCATAACTTCCCTTTCACTTAACTGTTGAAATTCAGAATGAGATAATATCAATGACACTTTGGAATGCAAAGTAAGTCCCTAATGTCAAATAAACTGGGCTCCTTGTAGATCAGTGGAGAGAAAGAGACTCTAATACCTAACTGAAAAAAGCCTGAGTAAAGGCATGAATGCTCCTGCAGAACTTCCTAAACATCTATGTAAAATCCAGACCTTATTGTAGAGGCTAAACTTATATTAACTTCAGCAGTGCCAAGACTTACCCCTCAGTTTTAAATTCCAACAGGGTGAAAAGCCAACTTTAGAGAAAGTGATGGGACTAGGAAAAAGGAGAAACTTCAGGGGTGCAATAACAATTAAAATGAATAATAAATTTCAACTGAGGTAGAACTGGGAAAAAATGTCAATGCTGACAGTGCTGATTCAGCTGGGATTAGACTCTACTTATTTTATGAAGAATATTTTAGCAGAAAATAAGCAATTTATTAATGTCTCTTCTGGAACTGTTTCCATGTCTGTTCTTCCTTTTCTTACATGCTTTTTTAAATTGCTTGCCTCTTTTTTGTCTTCTACTCACTAACATTTTTCCAAGTTGCTCAGCTTGGTTCTCCACTCTCTCCATAGTATAAAAGCTCTATTGTTCCCTTAGAATGCTCCATCACTTACCCCTCCTAGCTCCACACTTTGGCACAAATGGCCTCTTTTGAGCTTCTGTGTGAAGACCACCTGCAGCAGACCTTGAAATGACTAACATGGAGGTAGGCTGAGATCAGCTTAAACTCAAGTTTCAAATGTACTCTGCAACTCTTGCTGTTTCCTACTCCCCAAAACTACTTCATTTCCTACACTGACTGCTAAAGCAATAGTCCTTAAAGAGGGAGCGATGATTTACAGTGACTCTTCTTAATACATGAACATTAATTTTATTTATTGTACCAAGTACCAAATTTACTAGAGACCTAGTCCATGATTGGCATTTTGAAGGAAATATGGTATATTACTCAAATCTATGGATATAGCTGTAGAGATTTATAGAACATTGCCTTCAGTAGTTAGAACATAGTATATGACTAGTGCTGAGGTCATGTCCAATGTTCATTTTGCTCATTTACTTTTGAAGGTGGAGTTGAAATAGTTGCCAATTCACAATATGAAAGGGATTTTTTGATAATAATATATTGAAAAGTAGATATGTAAAGGTAGACTAAATGATGAATTTAATTTAATAGCAAACAGAAATTATTTGTGACTTTTAACTCCTTGAAAATTGCATTTTAAAAATACCTACTGATCATCTGATCCTATGAAGACTCAGTATTAGTCAAAGGATACATCACTTGTCTAAGTCCCTTGCCTGGTAGAGAGTGGCAAAAGGGACAACAACTCACAGTAGCTAAGTAGGTGGCTGATGATATTTACAGGGTCAGTAAGGGTAGCTCAGTTCTCCAGCTATTCTCTTAATCAGGTAGGAGATACATTGAAATCAACTAAATTGCTCAGGATTAACAATAAGGTGATTTAGTGCACAATCAGCCCCAATAGAAAAATTCCTTGTAGTTCATTGTGCAGCTAAGTAGATAAGAAAAATCTGCAGTTTCCAAATATCCCAGACTCCTAACAGCCAGACACAGGCACAAAGGCACGTGCTGGGGAAATGAAATTAGCAAGTGGTGTCATTTGTTTTAGCATATGATCACATCTGACATGCATGAGCTTGTGTCTCATGCGTTTTCTTGTTGGTGCTGGAAAAAGAAAAATGTGAAGCCAGTTAGGAATGTCTCTGAATGTGATGCTTTCCTTTTTCCCCATTCTCTCTTTTCCTTTTCTTTCAGTAAAAACACTGGAGATGTTTAAAACCCCTAAATCATACAAGGTATATTTTTAATATCTTGTACGAGGGATAACCTTTTTAATAGTACTGGAAATCCCCATATAGCATATATAGGTGTATCCAGATGGATTGTTTCCATATGAAGGCATTTTCTTTCACCATTTTTCATTCTATTGTATGTAGCTGTAACTTATGCTTTTTATAACGAAGGGCTACTCTTAATAACCTTGTATTTATTTTATTTTATTTTTTTTAGAAAGAGCAGATGTGATGAAGTGAATGAGAGCTATTGGTTTAATAAAGCACAGTCATCTTCTCTCAGATGTTACAATAAACCAGATTAGATAGACTTTTAATGATAAAGCTCCAATGTTACCTCTGCAGTTGATAAATGGTCTGAAATTTCATTTTCTCTGTTCTGTGTACCTTGCATACATGCCTGTGTTTAACTGTTTAGAATCTATCATTGTAACAACATGAAAGCAAAGAAACCCAAGATCTCAAAATAGCTCATTATACAAACGACGATTCCTACCTGATAGGGAGAAGTGAAAGGTGACAAATCCTTCCCTCTCAATTAAATTCCCTTCAGGAGAGCCTTTAGTATGTTTCTGACCATCTTGTCAGTCAAGCAATAGCAGAAAATTCAGTGTCATTATGGAAAAAAAGACATTAAAATATTTTTAGTGGTGGAGAGAGGGGATATGCGGATATACTTCAAAGAAAGGGTCTTGTTTTCCTTTTATTCCCTCAGTATTTCCATGAAACCTAAGGCAATGACATCACAACAAAACAAGGTTGCCAAGATATACTATACAAAAACATGTTTTCACATGGTTACATTTTCTGCAAATTATAGTTCTTGGAATATAAATCAGAATAATTGTTTAAATCAGAGTGACTGTTGAAACAGATTTGCAGAGATCAAATCAAAAATGTAATAATTCTTGTGGTTTCACTAATGCTCACAGCACCAAATACTTCTGAAAATTTTGGTTGTCATTTATATATAGTGTTTACATTAACATGCTGCTTGAACAGAGAAAATATATATTTTAAGATGAAAATGTGAATCCAGGGTTACAAGAATGTTTCTGAAACAGCTAAGTCATCTTGTTTCAAGTAAAACCAGATGTTTGCTTAAAGTGAAAGGCAATCATTTCTTTTAATTATGTTCATTGGTTAGGCCACCAGGAATATCCATATGTGCACACAATGATCCGATTAAAATCAAAGACCTTACAATGGAGAAAGCAATCAACAACTGAAAGACCACCAAATGACATGTGAGGCACTGACCTGGTTTCCACTACCTCTGTTCACTCATTTTCACTCAGCAAGTTGAGCAGGAGAGACTGCTGGGGTCTGCTGAGGGCCCCTGGGAGTGTCAGTCCCTGGGACCTGGAGGTATCTTTGGGAGCAATGGACTCCTAAACGGTTGCTCCAAATTGATGAACCTGGTCTAGACACATTTCTCAACTCAGCACAGGGTCAATACCTGCAAAAACATTCTTTATGCAGTAAGGAAACAGCTGCAATGCTCTTCTTTGGTTGTTTCAGTATGTGTGGCCTTGTGGTGAGTCTAGTGGAAGAGAGAAAAATGTGGAAACTCATAAAGTGTTTTGCATGAATACTTCACCAGAAGAGAAGGGGATGGCCAAATGGACCAAACAAGTAGATTTTCATGTCCTCCTGAAATCCTGTAGATGCCACATGACTGTCCTTGGCAGAGACTGTAAGCCCAAAACATTGCCATGAAGTTTCTAAAACAACCCATAACTGTAACAGCTCTTCATGTCCCAGACATTTCAAATGCACTTATCACCGGAATTTTTATTGGTGACTGATGACTTTGAAACTATACAATATTTTTTTTAGTTTGAAATTTCTATGCAAAACTTTGTTGGTCATGTATATAAGGATCTATTCTTAGGCCTCCTGTGAAGAAATACCGAAAGCTCTGGCCCGTGGCAGGAGATGCACCTTCTAACTATTTACAGAGCAAAAAATGATCTTCTGGAAACTGGCACCTACCCCCAGTAGAGGGTACCTCCTCAGCTCCTCTGTGATCCTATCAGCAGACAAGGACAGCTCTATAACCACCTATTTCAATGACAATTACGTTTATGAAAAAGAAATTAGAAAAAAAAAAAAGAAGGGAATAAAACTGCTCAGTAAAAGATATTCTCAGGCCATGTGCATTTGTCAGAAATTCTGGCATTAATCAGGTGATTAAAAGTATTTACAAAAAAAAAAAAAAGGATAAAAGATATGACTCCAGTGAAGCTACTAGGATTTTTAACACTAATTTCAATGAGCCAAAGAAACATCCTTTTCTATTTTCCCCTGTTACTTCTGTCATGGTGGGGCATTTTATTGTACACATTCAGGTTCTGTGATGAAGGTGTTCTCTTCTGTTTGTGCATGATCTTGGCTCAACTGCTTTATTGTTTTGCTTTTTTTTCTAGTCCATCAATACCTCTCACCAAAGAAGAGATTGTTTTACTTCCATCCTCACTGCTCTGCACAACAACGTTTCTCTCACCCAAGCCTTACACTTAGGTTAAGTTCAGCCTCTACAGTGTTTTTCGATAAAGATGGATATGTATGCATAACAACTGCATCCATGGCAACTTCATTTTGGTGTGTGAGTCCTGTATAGTCTTTTAAATGTAACCCTTTCACATGGCTTCACTTAACTGTGTGCTAACAGAGCCTGTGTGCTAACAGGGCCTTCTGTGTATTGCCTCTAGTTCCTTAAAGCTCCTCTCATTGTTTTGACTAATAAGCAGTTACATTAAAACTTTGGGCCAGGATATTTAGAGGGAAAAAATCCTGCAGACCCTGCAAATTTAGTAGCAGGCACTTGATTTTTGTTGATTAACTTGTAGATAATGTTGCCAGAAATATCTTCTTCAAGGCATACTCCTGTCTTGAAATACAACATCTTCACCAGCTTTCAACACAAGACAGGAACCAAAACGAGGTAGCGTTGGAGCAGATGACCTCCAAGAACTTCTGGCACTGCTCTATGGAAAGTAGATGGCATTAATACTGATATAGAAGAGTAGCAGGCAGGCTAATTTGTAACCCAGCAGGATCCCAAAATATGTCCAAAATATTATTTATTACTAGAAGTTATAAAATAGAGTTAAGGCAGATTTTATTGTTTACTTATCCAAGCCATAAAATATACAAGTACAGGAAATATAAACAACAGCAAAACAATCTGTGCAAAGGCAAGCTTTCAGCTAGCTTAATCATCTCTAAATTCTAATTATTATCTCATGATGAATGGCTGCTGGAGTACACAAAGGATGATACCAAATCCAGTTCCCTGTTCCACACAGACCACCCCTAAGGAGGACACTTCCATCCAACTGTATTATCACATATTCTGCCTTGACAGAAAATTTAATTTTCTCATCACCATTTGGTGAGTCTTCTTCTGGAAAAGGGCATACTGTCTGCCTTTCCCTGGACTCGCTTTTGCAGGTGGATTGTTCTTTTCCACTGTGGATGAAGGAACAGTCAAGAATGTGTCCCTTCCTTATTGTGCTGGCCTGGGTGAGTTTTTCTAGTCTAGTTTTTATAGCCTTTCCATCACTAAATTCTACTCATTTACCAGTGGCATGTTAAGTGATACAAGCAATATCTGTTATATATACTGTGAGTTCCTACTCATTGTCATTTATTACTCTCCTTTTCCACACTGCTTTGGAAGCAGCACGTCCTTCTGTACATACC